CCGCTGCCGCCGCTGCCGCCGCCGCCGCCGCCGCCGCCGCCGCCGCCGCCGCCGTCGCCGCCGCCGACAACGCCGCTGCCAAACATCGCGCTCCATATGCCCACCACGTCGCTCGTCATGGCCTGCGAAAGAGAAAGAATGCCGCGAGGGGCGCCGCGCCGCGCGCAGCGAGCGCCGGGTGGTGCGGCGCGGGGGTCAGCGCGGGGTAGCGCCGCCGCTGCCCCCGCGACCCGCGGCGCGCCCCAGGCCAGGGCGCGGCGCGGCAGGCGCCGCCGCTGACCCTGCAAACCGCGGCGCGCCCCGGTCCGCTGGTGAAGGTGGCCATGAGGGCCGCAGCCCTACCTCCGCTGAAAAGTCGGTGTCGTTATTGGTGGCGCTGGCCCCGTGGCCGCGTAGGTCTGGCGCGACCACGCGGTACCTTGGGGTGCAGCAAGGGGTGCGGCAAGGGATGAAGGCAAGGGGTTCGGCAAGGGGTGCGCCAAGCGGTGCAGATAGTGGTGCTTGACACGAAGCACCGCGGGGTGCGGGGGCGGGCAGGGAGCGGCGGCACTTGTCCAGGGCTTTATGACGCCCTAGGAAGGTGTTGCGTGTATGCTGCACTGGCGGGCTGCGTGGGTCGCGGACGCCACGCGAGCTGCTGCCGATGGCTGCGCCATGGATTCAAACGCAACACACGCGCCGCCGAGGTGCACACCTGTTTTTGAGCTGCTGTGCCACAAGGGACCAAGTCAGCCCAGTGTAGCCACCGCCATGGAGACACAAGACCACGGCACCTTCGTTGCCTGCCGTATACACCGTAAAGACGCCCCTACGGCGGGGTCGGGCCGGGTCAGATCGCTTCTCCCGGCATCATGCTCCAGGCAGGGCGAGTGCGCACCTGCCAGGCACCTCCACGGACTTTCTATCGTCCCAATAGTCCTTCCAATCCCGCAGCTGCACTGAACGACGCCCGCAGTGCTCGGCGTCGGGCTCCGGGCGCGCTTCTGCGAGGCCGTGCTCGCTGCCACCCGCTTGCTCGTCCTCCAACACGGTGGGGATGTGCTGGGCAGTAGTGCGGTGCGCGCCCATGAGTGCCTGCTTGCGCAGCGCGCTGCCTGCGCCCCTCGGCGGACGTGGCGCTGGCGGTTTGAAGTCCATTGCTATGTATGTTTGTGCAGAGTCAGCAGAACAGATTTGATTTTCATCACATCAGCAGAGCGCGGCTGAACACAGCGGGGCCTGTCAAGTGTGCAAGTCAAAACGGTCAAGGGGCTGCTCGGCTCCTCGCCTGCCAGAGGAATAAGGGGGCACCAGCTTGGGGGGCAATTCGATTGATCCAACATCAACTTGAGATACTTGATGCCATCACTGCAAAGGCTATGACTGTCAAACGCAAGAATCCCTTGGCCAAGCCAAAGGCGTGCATAGGTTACACGCATACCGCCAAGGAACTGCTGCGCACCACACCTGCCCAACCTTGCAAACACTTTCTCATACGCATGGGGTCAGCCAAATGTATATTACACAGAACCTCATCAATACGCTTCATAGTCCTTGGCCTCACACATCTATGCGACGCCACGAGGCACCGCCCAGATGAATACCAAAAACGGCTGGCCAGGGACGGCGACGCGGCCGGCACCGCCGTGGCGCTGACGTGGCGCAAGCATCCAAGCCGCACTTGGGGCGTGAAGACTCTGCGCGCCGCTGCTTTGACGACCACAAGTACTGGGCGCGCCAAGCCGCCACCTCAGCTCCAAAAGGTACGCACATTGGTGAGACCCAGCGCGGCCCCGGAAATCGCACTGCCACAACCGCCGAACATGCACTGCAGATCGCGGCACATACGCCTGCTCAGGGCCGCTTGCCGCATCCCTAATTGCATGCGCCGCCTTTCCCGCACCAGGTGGCTCTCGTGGCCGCGCCCCTCGCACCCTCCTCGCGCCGCCTCGGCTGCACCGCCGCCGCCCACGCGGCGCGCGCGGGCGCCGCTCACGCCCCCACGCCGCACAGCATCATCAGATCATCCAGCATTGGATCGTCGTCCTCACCCTCTGACGCAAACCCGGCGGGCGGCGCCGCCGCCGCCACAGGCGTGCGCGGCGCCGCGGCAGCGGGCGGCGGCGCTGCCACCGCGACGTAGTGCGGGGTGACGTAATGCGACGCAGGTGCCAACGCTGCCGCACTCGCCTGCTGAGAAGCTGCCACCAAATCGAGGGCCAGCGAAACCTCGCGCTCAAAGCGCTGCGTGTCGCCCCTGTCAATTGCTGCCACCAAGTCCGGGTATGCAAACTCCGCCGCCGCCGCCAGCCGCGCCTGCTGCGCCGGCTGCAAGTAGCCGACCGCCGCCTCGGCGAAGCTCGGCCGCTCAAACATGCGCGACACGAGGCGCTCAGCTGCCTCGGCGCGAGAGACGCCGGACGGCAGCATCGACGCCGGTGGCGCCGCCGCAACAGCAGCAGCTGTAGGGAGGCGTTCGCCAGGCACCGACTCGCTGGCTCCATGCGCGGCCCAGCCCTCAGTTGCCGCCGACGCTGCGCCTGCAGACGCTGCGCCGGCAGCAGCGGCGTGCGACTCAGGTGCAGCGCCGCCGGGCCCCCCCACACTCCCATCCTCGGATCTAGCAACCTGCCACGAGTTGCCCGCCTGACCACGCCCCTCCTGCCCCTCGCCTTCCTCCTGCCCCTCCTCCTCTACCTCCTCCTCCTCCTCGTAACCCTCCCCATCCTCATCCTCGTCGCCACTGCCATATGCATCCTCGTCATCAGAGCCGACATAGAGCCCCAGGAGCGCATTGTAGCGATCCAGATCAGACACGAACGCCTTGGAGCTCAACAGGCCCTCGGGCGGGCCAGACACCGACCCCGACCCCGACACCGACGCGCCTGCGCCGGCCGGGCCGCGGGCGTCGCCCGCGAGCGACGCGCCCGTGCCTGCGGCCGTGCTCGCCGCGCCGCTGGCGCTGGCCGTGCCGTCCTCGCTGGCGTTGTCTGGTGCCTTGGCCTTGGCCCTGCAAATGGCGGCGCCGCGGCTCCCATCAGCAGCGAGCCAAGGCCCGGAAAGCGGGCAAAACAGCAGGCCGAGGCCGAGCATGTATGTTTCAGGCACTGAAGTTCAAAAAAGCTATGCGAAACACCCTCAACGGCGCCAGGCAAGGGCCGGGCTGAATCCCCTCGCACCTGCGCCGCAGGTTCTTGCGCTGCGCCGCCGTCAGCGCCGCGGTCAACTCCATCCCCGGCACCAGCTGCTTGGGCCCCTTGGCCTCTGGCTCGGGCGCAACCTCTGCACTGGGGGGTTTTAGGGTCGAGCAGGAGGCAGGCGGGGGAGAGGGCGCACGAGGGTCGGCGGAAGGGGGCCACGGGCTAGGCACGGGAGTGGGTGACGTGTGGTGCGGGAGACAGCCGGCGGGCTTGGCGAGCGGATGGGCGGTCGGCGCTCTGGAGCGGCGCGAGCGGGAGGGGAGGGGCTTACATGGTGACAGAGATGGCAGACGGCCCGGCGGATGCTCTGTTGCCAATGGCAGCCTTGCGCGGCATCGCCCCGTTCTGCGGCTGCGGCGGCTTCTTGGGCTTTGGCTGCGGCGGCGCCTGCTTGGCGTGCGGCTGCGAAGGCCCGCGCGGCTGCGGCGGCGGCTGAGGCGGCGGCGGCGCGGCGGCGGCCTTTGCCTTCTTCTCGTTCCGCGCTGAAATGTGGCGGGTCTTGTCGATCTGCGGGCGGGGCGTTGGGCATGGATCAAGGCGGGGCTGCACGCCAAGGCCTCCCCCGGTTG